ACTTGGGGACGCCTGGGGTTCTTAAGTTGAATCTGTATGTAAGTCAGAACTGGCATCCAGATTCAGCCGCTGTTGAAACTGATCAGTTTCAGCAGCAGCTGACGCCAGTTCCGACTTACATACAGATTCAACTTAAGAACAAACCTACAGTCCCTATCTTGTACGTAACCCGTCCCAGCTTGTGCCTCCCCTGTCCCCTACAGAGATGGTGCTGGGGGAAAATGGCTTTTTAAGCCAACTTCCCCCAGAACTGGCTTCTGCTTCCTTCCTTCCTAGCTGTCTCTGATACATAGGCAGCAAGGGGGCTAGGGAGAGAGACTAGCTGAGTAGTGACACGACTACCTGATAAGTCTTGACTTATCAGGTAGTTGACTAGTCACTTACATTCCTAGCAGGCATCCCACAGAACAGCGTCTATCTGTGGCGAGCCTAGACCTGCCACGGACAGAGGCTACTCCGCAGCAGCAGCCCTTGCCCCCCATCCCCGGCGCTGCCTCTGACAGAGGGATGGGGAGGGGGAAGAGTGTGTGTAGGCAACAGGATTAACCAATATGCCCAGGTTTAAATCGGTTAATTGTGTAGTCAACTACAAGTTGACATCCCAAAGGAGAACTGCAGAAAAAGAAGACTGAACTCTTTGCTCAACATTAGACTTCTTCTCAGCAGGTCAGTGTTGAGGCACACAAGCAGGGCAGTATGGGGAAAACCTACACTGTTGTTACAGGACTGTCCCTGTACCATAAACAGGAGTTAATGGGAAGAGCCTCAGATCAAGGAAAGTGTCAGATCGGTCCTTCAGTGTACGGCTGGCACATTAACCAATTCTAAATTTACTTTTAAAAATGTACAAGAGAAACAAAATGTTTCAATCAAAAATTATTACTAAAATGTGTAATGATCTCTAAAAGAAGATTCTAAAAAGTAGGAAAAAGGAAACATCTGGATCCTGGACACAGCTAATGATGTCTTATTAAAGCTATTATTTGACTTCAGTGGAACTATTCATAAGTACAACAGCTTGTATGCAAAGCATTTGTGAGACTGGGACTTTGAAAACTATTTACTTATGTCCACTTTAATACATTATTTACTTATAAATGGACATAAAGTACCTGCATCAGAAATAATGAATGTATTATTCTCCAAGAACTCTTTTCTGATTATTTTGGCCAATATGTGCATGCACAAACAACCACCCTTTTTCTTTTGAGGACAAAATATTGTTCTTACCTTATGGAAATAGATATAGCCTTGTGTAAGCTCATCTGAGCCTTCCCCTGAGAAAATGACCACACTGTCCGATTTCTTACGTATATATTTGGAAACCAGATACATACCTAAAGTAATAAAATCAGATATACAAAGTTATTGTAAACTCCATTATAAATGGATAGAATTCTGACTTCAAAACATCTGTGCAAGCTGTACTTCTTGTGTACTGTTTCGCTGCGTCCCTTCCATATTAGAGATGAAGGGGAAAAACAGATGAAATCGACAACAGCAGGGAATAAATATATATATTACGGATATACAGGCAGTCCCCGGGGTACATACAAGATAGGGACTGTAGGTTTGTTCTTAAGTTGAATTTGTATGTAAGTCGGAACTGGTACATATTGTAGGGGAAACTCTAGCCAAACATTTCTCCAGAGCTCAGTTTTATTCTCTCACACCTCACTTCCCTCAGTCCTTTATTCTCAAGCTGAGGTGTCTGCTGAGAAAAGCCGCTCTGTGTCTCCCTCATCTGCTGGGGAGGAGGGCGCTAGCTTCGCGTCTCTCTGGTCTGTTGGGGGGAAGCAGCTAGTGCGGGGTTGCCTCACCTCGTTTGTAAGTAGGGACCCGATGTAAGTCGGATCCATGTAACCCGGGGACTGCCTGTATATGGCATTGATTCAGGAAAAGCAAAATCCCAGTAAAGTCAGTTTAACACATGCTTCAAGTTAAGCACATGCTTGAATGCTGTCCTGAATAAAGATGTTTTCCTGAATTACATCATATTTGTAAAAATAAAAATAATCAAGATACATATTTATTACTGCTATAGGCTTAACAGTTATACTGTATAATCCATTTAATTTCCAAAACATTTTATTAAACTCTATTCGTTTTGTATGCAATAAATTCAGTTTTTTCCTCATTGCGCCTTTCCACATGATTTATGTTACTAATAAAAATAGTTTTGGTTTGCTTTGAGAAATGAAATTTCAGTAACAGGTGTTTATTTCAATAGTTCTACTATGTTGTCATATTACACCACATTTGAATGAGAACATAATATGAAAAAAATCGGAAGAATTATTTTTCATATGTGAAAGGCAACAATAGCACATATATTTTAAATACTCAACAACAAAAAAAACCTAAAATCAACTTTGCCTGCCTCTCCGGTACATATACTTCATCCAAACAATGTTTTTGAAGGTCAGACTAGATCAGGCATGTCAAACAGGCCTCTGGAGGGCTGCATACGGCCTGATCGAAATTTTTTGTAGCTCATCACTACATTTTTATAAAAGAATAAAGTGCGGCCCACTGGCTGCTCGGAGCACGTGGCTGAGTGCAGATCACAGCTGGCCGACCGGCCGCTCTGCGCATGGCACTCCAGCAACTGCTCACGGCTG